CTTCTTCTTCTTCTTCTTCTTCTTCTTCTTCTTTTCTTCTTCTTCTTTCTTTTTCTTCTTCCTCTTCCCTTTCCTCTCTCCTTTTCTCCTCTGGGTTGTCTTTCTCTCTCCTGTCTCGTGTTTCTGTTCCCTCTTCATTTATTTTATTTCACCACTTCCCCTTTCACGCACCTCGGTGCGCTTGCTCTCCCTCTGTGGGTTTCTAGCTCTCTTGCAGTGCTCCCCTTCCTTTGTATTTGACTGGCTCGTCTTCCTTATTTCCCACTTCTACCACTACCACTACTACTACCTCTTCTTCTTCTACTACAACTACTGATGGAATTAAGACACATGTGCGGCGTCTGGTTGTCTTTGTTGTGGACGTTTCGCCATCCAGTGGTTGGCTGGATGGCGAAACGTCTACGGTGGGGATGCCCGGGTGTTGTGCATGTGTCATTTCATCCTGTCGGTATTATATACAATTCTTGTACTACTACTACTACTACTGCTACTACTACTACTACTACTACTACTACTACTACTACTACTACCTCCACCTCTTCCTGCCTATATATAGCCGTCCTGCTCCACCTCTGTTAGTGTGACTTTGTCAATGGTCCAAGTCGGACCGAAACGTCGTCGTAAGCTTCTCTCTTTTATGTGCGGGTTATTTGTGTATCGTTCCAGTCACGGTATTGTGCCTTTTTGTTATTTAGCTTCAGTTGTTTTACTGTCTTCATCATTCAGCATATCCAATTGTTGTAATTCATCCTGGCCTACATGCTCTCTTGGACACAGGTCCAGGATGAATCTTACCATTTTGTTCTGGGTGATTTGCAGTCTATCTTTCAGGTTTTTTTTTTTTTGTCAATTAAGAGTACCATGAAGAGGAAACGTAGTCCAAATGACATAGGGTCCTGCGAGCCTCAGTAGGTAGACGCTGTGCTTGTCTGTAGAGGAACTTCAGTCTGATCTTTGCTTTCTTTACTACACTGTTCCCTATCAATTCTTCTGACATGAATGGGTCAAAGTGGATTCCCAGATATTTTACTGAGGAAACTGAAGTGATGGGTTCCTCATTACACCGGATATTAAAATTATTTACCATTCTCAGTTTATGTTTCATGCAAAAGAGTATGGCTTCCGTTTTCCTAGGTGTAACGATAGTTTGTTGTCTACTAGCCATTTGCTGCAGGACTCCAGTTCCAGTGTTATTACAATAGCTCTGTCTTGTAGGTCTTTACCTGACACTGACAGAGCACTGTCATCCGAATACAGTAGGAGTTTGCTCTTGACACTGATGGTCATGTCGTTTACATAATAAAGAAATAATAAGGGACCCAGAATACTACCTTGGGGAACTCCATATGGTATCGGCAGGGGTTCTGATTCTGTTTTGTTGATTTTGACAATTTGCTTCCTATTACTAAGATAGGACTTAAACTAGTCTATGGAACCTATGCCGATAGCATGAAGTTTCTTACATAATATATTGAGGTTGACAGTATTGAAGGCCTTTTGCTAGTCTTGGGTTACCATTCCTATGAGGTTCCCTATCAACATTTCAGTTCTCATGTAATCCATCGATTATTAGGGAGGTGTCGGTTGAGCAAGATCTCCTAAAGCCTGATTGGTAACTATGAAGAATGTTATTGTCATTAAGATACTTAACTACTTGACAGTACACCGCCCTCTCTAGTATTTTGGATATTACTGAGTATACTAACAGGCTTATAGTTGCTGACATCAGACCTACTATTTTTCTTGAAGATAGGAGTAACTCTGGCCTCCTTGGACCCCTCCGGTACGGTATTAGTTGTGATGGACAAATTTATTATGTGAGCAATGAGGACCGGCATTTCAGAGACACCATCTTTTAGCAACTTAGGCGGGATGTTATCTGGGCCGGTGCTCTTAGTTTGGTTTAACCTGCTTAGTTCTTTTTGCCCGAAATCATGAGATACATTTACTAGTTGACAACAGTTTGGGGTTATTCCTTTATTGGTATAGTATGTTTAAAACATATCAGAGTCAGTGTTAAAGGTATTTGATGCAGCTGGTAGTGTACTTACTAGCGTTGATGCGACAGTTGTGTAGTATGAATTAAAGCAGTTTGCCACTTTAGTTGTTTCGTGGCATACCTCGTTATCGATATTTAGTACTATGTTTGATCTGTCTACTAGTTTATTGCTATACCCAACTGTTTTAATTGTTGCCAGAGCTTTCTGGGGTTATTCTTGTACTCTTCGATTTTTGCGCAATTGTGCTTTGCCTTTGCTCCTTTTATAAGTCTCTGCACCTTTGGAATTCATTTTGTAGAAAATACTGTATATTCTCGAAAATACAATGTATTTTATATGTAAATTGATGGCCTATATTGTAGGTAATAAAAATTAATTTGTAAATAAATAAAGAACCAGCGATGGGTGAGCGTCGCTGGAGGAGAGACGCCATTGTTTTTGAATGGGGTGAAAGCACGCTAGCGAAATGTGCGTAATTTTCTTCGCTCTAGGGGTTTTATTGAGCTTAAAACCTCTCAAATAGGAGCTGGAATTGCACTCCTGTATAACGTGAGAAATCAGGCGACTGGACAGGACCCCGTACTTAGATGGAAACAGGATATTAACCCAGGTGATGTCTATGTTGAGATTCTGGCCAGTTTTCTCCATAAATTTAGGCAGGGCTTTGAGCATGACACACCGTGATCTCCAGACTAATTGGTGAGTCTTATGATTATAAATTCTCCTTCTGTTACATAAATGTGTATATGTAATCATTTATTAATTTTAATATACAGTCCACATGTTTATATTAAATTTTACCAGAATTCCTGGTGATGTATGTTTCATTTGCAATTAATATAGGTCTAGAGCAATTTGTGGATATGACAGTTGTAGGTATCGAAGGGGGACATTTTTTGAGACCTAGGTGTCCCACAATTATTACTTGTCAGTGTAACTTTGATAAATAATAATTATCTTTGTTACCATTTACTGGTATGTACCTTATGAGTTACATCCAGGTAAATTTAATTTTCCATACATTTAGCGCTGCAATAACCTGTCTCTTTGCCTTAAATCTTTGTAGCAACTGGCCTTTGAGTTTCATATCTAATATCTCAGTAGTCATTCAGGGTTCGGTTCTCCGTTTAATCCTAACCTCTTTAACTGGTGCAATACTATCAAGGGTGGCATTGAACATTTACGTCCGTGCAACTTGTTATCACTGTCCAATCACAATTATGTAGCCTATTTACCAGTGTTTCTTTACTGTAGTTTCTGGTTTATCTGTTTTTTATTGTCCTGTGTAGGCCTATTCGTTCCCTAGTGATTTTCCTGGTGGAGTAAATGATGAAATGATCACTAAGGTTTGTGGTAATGACGCCTGACTGACTAATGTTCTCAGAGCGGTTACAAAGTATGTGGTCGATTAGGGTGACTGAGAACTGTGTGATCCGGGTTGGTGTAATAATTAATTGAATGTAACTATTTAAATCTAAAATTTGCTTATACTTTTTACATTGCTCGTTATTTTGCTGTTGAAAACAGATACTGAAGTCTCTCAGTATTACTGTTTTGCAGCTGTTATCAAGTCCGGATAAGACGGCGGTAACTAGTTCCTAAGATGGGTTTGGTCTCGGGAAACAACACTTCATACCATAGAATCTCCAGTTTATTGTCATTTAAATCAGGTCTTGGGTTGTAAGCTAAGTCATTTCTTATGAAGGCACATACCCCACCACCTTTTTTATTCCTATCTTAGCGTTTTATATTGTAACCTTCAATTTTGACCTCGACATCAGTCACCGTATCATCCTAGCAGGATTCAGAGATGGATATAACAGCCGCCCTAATTTTGTTAGCTAGAATCCTAATCTCTGCCAATTTTGGAAAAAGTGATCTTGCGTTGACATGATTAGAGTGAAGGCCTGTTTTCATAAAACAATCAGTATCATCAGTATATGGCAAGGGGTCATTTGTATTAAAATTAGATAAATCAATATCATCACTGCTGAAGGGTAACTGTGCCTAAGTGCATTTGTTACAAACAAAATGAGATCTTGTATCATTACCATAATCAAACACACATCCATTATGCACCCACCCCTTACACAATTTACATTTGATTAAACCTTCTATCTAGTTAATTTATATTCCATACGAAATGTAAAGTAAAGCGTTGGTGATATTTCCTACGAGGACAGACTTGAGGGAACTTAATCTGCTTTATCTTGAAAGGCCAGAAATGCATAATTAGTGGCTTTCTTAGGTGTTTACTTATGTACTTACTGATTTACTTAGTCATGTAGCTACATTATTTATATGCTCACAGAAATGAAGCATTATCATTATCATTGAAGTACACAAATGGAAGAGAAAAATAAATAATCGAAGTTCAAAGGTGTATGAGGAGGGTTACTGACCAGCAAAATGAAATCAATTATGAAGGTGCCCTACTTGGAGGAGGATCAACGCCCCCGCGGCCCGGCCCGTGATTAGTCGTGTTCTTTCTTGTTACCACGATGATGCTCTCGATTTTTTTAATCTCCCCCTGTCTTCTTTCATCATATGTCTCCCAGTCTGCCTCAGGAAGCCCATGAATAAGTGTCCTCTCCATTTCCTCATTCATATCTCTGGGTCAAATTTAAGTATCTGCTTGGTTGTCTCCCTTATCATCTCCCAGATGTTCCGGTGGCCGGTATCGTTTCCAAGAGGAGCTTCTTTGTTTTTTTTTCCTCCTTCAGTCCCCTCATTATCCACTCTTATTCCGTCGCCCAGTTTTTTGCTCCTATTGATCCTCACTTCTATATTCTGCTTCAACACTTCCAGGTCCTCTTCCGGTCTCTGCATCCTAGCCTCAGTGACTGAAGAAATACTTCGGAACATCTTTGTGGCTCATGTGGAACATCTTATCTCTGTCTACCTTGTCGATTCCTCTCAGTATTTTATGTTGTGTGTGTGTGTGTGTGTGTGTGTGTTGTGTGTGTGCATTTACATATTTAAATATTATTTTGCAGACCT